ATCTCACGATCGACTGTTTCGCGTCGACGTGCGCAGCGGCAGCACTTCTCGGCACTTCTCGGTGCGCTCGTCCGTCGCGTGGGTCGTTGCTGTGGCGGCGACGCGAGAACGTTGCCGGCGACGACGGCGCCGTCCGCCGACAAGACCATTTCGGTCGAGGCCGACTGGCGCAACGCGGTGCGACGCGCCGGCAATCGCTTTCGTCCGGGATCGGGCCACGGACGTCTTGTGTACTTGCGGAATGCGGAGCTCCCGGCGAGGCTGCGGGCTGGACGGCGCCATGCGACGGCACGCGCGTTTGGCGGCACCGACGACTGGAATGTCACTGTCATCGTCCGCGACACTGGCGTCACTGTCATCATCCTCCTCCTCGTCGTCGTCGTCGTCGTGGGCAACTTGGGGATAGAATGGCCGCGCGCGACGCGCTATCGGTGACGACAGGACGACTCATCAGCTTTGTGGCTCTGACGGATTCGAGAATGCGGCCAAGTGCATTCTTGTTGATGGGCGGGATGGTCAGGGCGACCTTGGCACGTGCCAACGCCGATGCAGACGCACCTGGAAGAGCGGCGGCGGGTCGATCCTGGGCGAACACCTCGGCGGGTCGTGTCGCGGGGGCTGGCGACCTGCTGTATCGAACCGTTGGCTTCGTCGCTGGCTTGGCAACGACGCGAGGCGCCACGGTAATCGTGTCACCAATACGACTCAAATCGCTCTCGCGCAGAAAGGAGTCGACGACCACGGCCTTGCGCGGCTTGCGGCCTCGCGTGGCAGCGACGGGCTTGGGCTTGGACGCAGCGACGGGCATCGGCGGCGTGGCGACGGGCGTTGGCGGCGTGGCGACGGGCGGTGGTACAAGCGCAGGAGAAGCAACGATGGTCGGCGCGACCTGGAAGAGAAACTTGGTCACGTCGCCGCAGATCTCCCGGACGAGGCGAATGGGCATGTCGAGGTCCACAAGGTCCATCGTCGCGTCGTGCTGCTCAAAGACTGCCGTGCGTGTGCCCGCCTTGACCGCCAGGTCCATGAAGCCGATCGCATGCTTTCCGCCTTCGTACATGCCAAAGAGAGACCGAAGCGTCGTGTCCACATCGGCCTTGATGAGGCTGCGGCTCACAATCTCGCCGGCGCGAGCGACCGCGATCGAGTAGTACGCCGCCATGCCACTTTGGATGGGCTGTTGTTGGCTAGGGAATCCGGATAGCGTACCGGATACTAGACACGCGCTCGGTGCTCTCATTGGCAGTAAATCATCAAGCCATGCGCCAAACGAGCGTGGATTGGTCAACTCATCTTGCGTTTTGATTGGATACATTACGCGGGCGACGACACAGCTTCAACCTGCCAGCACTCTGCCAACTCAAAAAGCGAGCAAGAATCAACTCAAAAAGCCGGCAAGAATCAACTCAAAAAGCGGGCAATCCACGAGTTGGCGATCAACGATGCTGATACAAGGATCGATGCAGTTGTCGGTGCAAGCGCGACCTCGTGGTCCAACCACGTCCCAAGCTGGTGGTAACTACATTTGTACTGCATGCGACGCTTTGGCCACCGCTCTGCTATCGCAAGACACCACTTTACAATGGCCGTGGACCGCCGCTTCGACACCCTGCTCGCCGTCGACACCCTTGCGCAGCTTTGCCTGCTCTACGACACCGCAGTCCGCCTTGCCTTGACGAGAGTCAACGCCTCCATGTTCGCGCGTCAACGGCAACCTCGCCCCGTCCGAGACGATGACGACCTCTTGGCCCAGCAACGGAGATGCTACCGGACGTGCTGGTATCGATTGCGCAGCTCTGCGCTGCCCTGCCTCGTCTTTGCCACAGGATTACAGAGGTCTCTGAGAATGATGCATCTGCGCTACCTGAGACGACGGCAATCGCTTGCCACCTGTCCATTGGTCGTCTTACGGGTACCCGGACGCAGGTCGTTGGCGGCGGATGGCTTGCCAGGTTGACCGATCCCCTTCTCGCTGTGCATCACTACCTAGTTCTTGTCGAGACCGTCATGCAGGACAAGGCGCAGGCAACGCTTCAAGCAGCACTCGTTGTCCTCGCCCAGCTCAACCAAGTGGGCGCGGCGGAGGGTACACCGCCACTTGAGGCGCAGGCTGGAGACACCTATCATGTAGGCGTCATGGCGGCCCTCCAAGCTCTCGGCGCCGACCACTCCAAGACCGAGGGCGATGCGCTTGCGTTTGCGACGCTGCGCGAAGCCGCCCGCGAGAGTGACGACTGGGTAGCGATGCTCGCCATGTTTGACGCTCTCGTTTCACCCACGACCGAGTCGAGCGAGCATCGCTTGCACATCTCCATCCAGGTAGTTCCTGCGTCGACGTCCGTGGCCCATACATTCTGCTGTCCTAGGCGGCTCTCACGCCCGTGCACGCCTACCTCGCCAGACCCGCGTCGTCGTCGGCCCTGTTCATGGAGCCCAGCGCGCACATGCAGCCCTACCTGACGCCTTCGACGTGCGTCCTGCGGCTGCCATCTCGGGTGCGCTCACATGATCTAGACCACGCGCCGTCCGGCGCCACGCAGCGGCCTTCCGCGAGGCCATGACGTCTGCGCTCACGAGCAGCGCGTCGCCGACCGTCGTACACTCGTCTTCTCGTCGTTCTCTGGATGCATGGTTGCTTAGGCGCTGCGGGCCCTCGTGCAGCATTACGACCGGTTTGCTGCCCGTGT